GTGAGAAGAGGAAAACTAACAAACTGAAGGGGAGCAGGCAGGTTATAATTGTGGGTGTCTAAGGCTCAGTACACCCAAGGGACTCTGGGAAGAGGGGGACAACGTGTTTCAGAATCGTGCCACGAGTGGGACAAGGAAGGGGAGGTAGCTATCCTCCAGCTATATACTGGGGAACTTCAGGCTGGCTATGGCTGGACTGAGAGATAGTCTCAAAGAGTTAGAGGATGCTGCTGTCTGGGGTGGGGCAAAGGAAGGAGCCCTGGTGTCAGCTGCAGGTGTCATCACATTCACAGAGGAACCACTGACAACCAAGAAGGAAAGTCGCCTGCATAATGTTGACTTGCTTAACCATACCATGGTGCCAGGCATTTTCTTTAATTCAGACATGTTTGACTTCTCAAGGATGCACATGGATATAATAATAATCATCTATAATTTTTTTTGACGCAGGGTTTCATGTAGTCCAGGCTGGCCTTAAACTTGCTATGTAGCCAAAGATGATCTTGAACACCTGATCCTCCTGCTTCTACTTCCCAAGTGCTGGGATTATAGGAGTGCTCCACTATTCCCAGTTTATTTGGTACTGGGGTTGGAACTCAGGGCCTTTTACATGCTAGGTGACCACCCTACCAACTGAGCTCCATACCCAACACTATTAGTTACTTTTCTGTTGCTGTGATAGAAACACTGACCAACGCAATTGACAGAAGGAAGAGTTTATTTGAGCTTATGGTTCCAAAGGGACAAGAGTCCACCATGGCAGGGAGCCATGGCTGGAGGAGGAGTGGGAAGCTGGGCTCTACATCTTCAAGCAGGCACAGGAAACAAGAGAGCAACGCGAGATTCTGCATGGCTTAAAAACTCTCTAAGCCCACCCCTGTGACATGCTTCCTCCAGGGTAGCAACACCTTCTAAGGCTTCCCAAAACAGCGCACCAACTGGGGACAAAATGTCCAAATACTTGGAGCCTATGGGGGAACATTTTCGTTCAAACCATCACATAGACCTATCCTTAACTTTTATAATTTCTGGAGAAAGAGAAATGGTGCTAGAGAAATATAATTTTTAACAATCTGGGCTGCAGAGATGGCTCAGGGGTTAAGAGCACTGTCTGCTCTTGCAGAGGACCCGGGTCTGGTTCCCAGAACCCACATGGAGGCTCACAGCCATCTCAATTCCAGTTCCAGGGGATATGATGCTGTCTTCAGATCCCTACGAGCATTGCACTACACAGCATTGCACTACACTTACATACATGTAGGCAATAATCTCTCATACATAAAATAAAAATAATAAAATATTTTAAAAAATCGATATGGAAAACTCAGTGATACCAAAAGAATCAAATGAAAATCTTCAATAGTGACATGACAATTCAAGGGAAAATCCTTATGTTTATAACAATCAGAATCCTGTGTAAATAAACATTTATAAAAAACATTGGTGTAGAAAAATATTTGGGCAAAGATCCAGCGTCTGTTATTTTTGTCAGGTTATATTGTAAAATGATTCTAATTTACAACTTATTAAATGAAATAAGCCTGTAAGTCAAGAAATACTACAGCAGTATCCAGAAATGCTTGCCCAGGACTTTAAATGTCACTTTCAGACATAAATGGTTCAAAATAATTTGGTAGGTGAATACTGATAATTACTTTTTAGTAGTTTAGGTCAACACTGTTTAGTGGGTAACAGCATATAGAGTCTTCATTTGTGGAATACAATGTGATTTTTAAACTCTTTTCTTTTTTTAATTTGTTGACAGTTTCATACTGCATATACTGACTTTTGGATCATTTTTACCCCTCATTGCTCCCTCTCATATCCCTCTCTTTCCCGCTGAGACCCTCACCCAGCAAGCCCTGTCCTACTTTGACATCTTTTTGTATGTGTGTGTCCCAGTGAGTTTAATTCTGGTTGCTTACATGAGTGAGATAGGGATTATTTACTGGAATATGTGCGACTTCTCAATGGCTACATATTTGAAGAATATGACACTCTGTCCCCCAGCACGCATTAACTGCCCTGGTCCTTTAGCAATGCAATATTTTGATACATGACTACACTGCAGAATAATTAAATCAAGTGAATTAACAGAACTGTTGCTTCAGAGAGTTATTTTTGTGTTATAAACTTCTAAAATCTCCTCTTTTAGCTATTTTGAAATAAACAGTGAATTCTTATTTACTACATTCATCAATAAATCAAAAAAACCTTATTTCTCCTGACTGGAATCTGGTACCCTCTAACCAGCATTTCCCCTCCTCCCATCTGCCTTGCCCCCAGCCCCAGCCTTAGGTAACTCTCTACTTCCTTAGTTTTCTTCAGATTTTACATAGAAGTAAGATCACAAGGTCCTCGAGGACAGACAATTCTTGATGACGCCATTTGAGTTGCTGGACTGTCATGCTTGAAGCCATGGGAACCCTGCCTCTTTGCTTGTAGGAATGAGTAAATTCTTCTCTGTGTTTCAGTGCTGTTTGAAGGATTGTCAAGTGCTGTCATTCTCTGCCTGCTTCTTGGTGTTAATAATTTTCCAATATAGTCAAATTGTATCAAAATTTAAAGCAAAACAATATTGGGGCTGGAGAGATGGCTCAGACATTAAGAGCACCGGCTTGTCTTGCGGAGGACCCAGGTTCGATTCCCAGCATCCACATGGTAGTTAATAACTCCAGTTCCAGGGAATCTGACGCCATCTTCCAACCTCTGCAGGCATTCCATGTAATGGGTTTGGGCACTTACACACATGCAGGCAATACATTCATGAAATAAAAATAATAAATAAAATATTAAAAAGAAAATAAAACAATATTGAAAATACAGTAGAGTTTTTACTACTGAAACAAACATCGTTATCTTAGCCTACTTGGAGGAAAATGCTTGCTGTACCTTCTACTGCTCTGATTAAAACCAAATTGCTGTACTGTCTTAATTCTGAGTTTATTTCAAACTCTTAAGCCATTAACTCCCTAAGTACTGATCAAATATGAAATGGAATTACACAGCTTCAGGTTTATAATTTAACTGCAATAAAATGGGGAGGTTTTTATACAGTACACCTTATAAATAACTTAAGAGGAAGAATTGATGATAAAAAAGAATGGAGCATGAAACACCTGTTAATAACATCTGCTGCTATATTAGTTTAGTTATTTAGCAAATACTTATGCACACCTCCTCTTCACAAAAGATTAAGAACATAAACAAATTCAACTCTTTTCTTTTGGTTTGGCACTTTTAACATATTTTGGCTTTCTTTCATGGATATCAATTGAGTCTTGAGGTTTATATTCTATTATCAAAGACATTGACATAATTATCTTATTTTTCATGCTGAATTTAACTCACTGTCATTTTTCTGAAGAGTGTAAGTGTTAAAAAGAAAGACATGAGTACTCAAATTACAGTATTCATGACCTTCTTGTTTGGGACAGGCAAGGGTCACTGTCTGTTCCCATGTCAGGCGTATTTCAGTCTGCAATACAACAGCTTGGCAAGGAAGAAGCATTTGCTGACCAGGGCAGGAAAATTTCTAAGTATATGATTTTATGTTGAAAAAATAAGACAAACCCCCTTGAGAATCATATTCTGTATAACAAGATTCAAACCCGCCTCTTTGTGGAAGTCAAATGTGCAAACATTTGGCTTAAAATGCATAAGAAATGCTTGGACAATTTATAACTAACATATACATCTCCCAAACAGAAATCCCTAGTGTGGCTATATGGCCAACGTGCCAACACTAGCAGGTTGACAGCAGCGAAGACCATCGTTTCTTCTGGTCTGAGTTGCACGTTCAGTCAACTAACTATGTTTCTTAGGTTTCACATTTTTGTAAGAGATAGAGACAATATAAAAGTCTTTCTCAGATAAATAAGACCGAATTTTTCAGTCAGTACTAAGATAAACCATCTATTGATTCTTGGGCACGTTTGAGGAACTATTCAAATGAAAGCAGCAAAGGAAAGGACATTACGAGATCACAGTAAACTACGCCATATTTTCTCATCTGTGTGTGGATAAAAATACATGGGCCACCTGACTTAAAGTTATAAGCTGGTTTCTTGAAGGATATGCTGACAGCAAGTCTTGAGTAAGGCATTTGACCTCAGAGTCTCAACTTGACTCTTTGAAAGATGTTTATGTGTTTTTAAATATTTATTTATTTATTATGTATTTATTTATTTTTGCTGGTACTGGGGATTAAACATGTGCTTCTCAGGCTTGGCAACTGGTCTACCACTGAATTATATCTCTAGCCCTCATGTGTGGTTAAAATTTTTTTAATTTATTTATTTTTATATTTATGTGTATGAGAGTTTTGCCTGCATGTAAGTGCACCTGCATATGCAATGCTCATGCAGGCCAGAAGAGGGTGTTAATTGGAATTAAAGACAGTTGTCAGCTGCCATGTGGGTTTGGTGAACTGAACCTAGGTCTTCTGCAAGAGCAGTCAGTCTGAGCCATCTCTCCTGCCCAACTTTGTGGTGCATTTTTAAGGTCACATAATAAAAGGAGCCATTTCATTATAGATCCAAACCAGTCATCATACTCAAGTCAAACAAAATTTCTTAAATTGTACTTTGTTGAAATATACTTTATTTACTTAATAAAGAAAAAAACAGAATGAATTTTCTTAAAAAAATATATCCTAAAGTTAAACAAATGTTAGCAACTATAAACTCAAATTTTTATTATTTATTTTTTTTTCAAACTCAAATTTTTAAAAAAATGTTTTTCATCTTCAGATAAAATATTCCAAACTCTTAGTGTCTAAAGCATTCAAATCCTCCATTTGTCAAAAAAGGACAAAAAAATCCACAATAACAACAGACCTACTTCGGGTTAACCATCAGAGAGTTCAGACACAAAGGAAAGCAAGCATTCAAACAGGGAAACAGCCAAACAGTCTTTAACATCCCTAGCTGCCAGAGTATGGCCCGCTGAAGGAGAACCAGGACTTCTGTGGGGTGGGGTAAAGAATGGAGCACACTGACCTTTTCTGGCAAGGCTGTCATTAGGTTCATACTTCTCAATCAACACTTGGACTTGCTCTTGTTTCAAAGGTGGATAAAGTATTTCATTTAGCCGGGGATCTCGTTGCTTAAGGTTGATAAAATCCATCATCTGATCAACAGTAAGGTATGGTTTGCTTTTGGCACCACTAAAAACAATGAAAAACAAGAGACTACACTGTTTTCCCAAGTCTTGTTTATACATATATCTACAGAGAAACAAAACTCCGACCCTACTGGAAAAATCTATTCCGAAATTCCAATCTTACCCAAAAAACACAACGCTGTCCCACCATATCCCCTGTACCTCACTGGGTATAAGCCATCTTTGGTGATCAACACCACTCAGGTCTAAGGCCTTGGCAAAGGAACAGATACCTAAGAGAATCCACAGTGGTAGAACACTGAACAGTGTGTGTAAGGATGGGCTCAGAATTCAACACAGTGGTATGAATCATTTCTGATCATAATACTAAAATGATTTTGTCATTAAGTCCTATATCCCACTTAGTCACTTAAAGATGTCTTTATTACTGAATTATTACTTTTCAAAGAGAAAAAGACCAGCTTAGACACATTTTTTTTCATTTAACTAAAGTTATAGGTTCATAAGAGTTGATAGCTGGCTACAGGTAGTCTATGCCTTTAATCCCAGCACTGGAAAGGCAGAGAAAGGCAGATCTCTGTGAGTTTGAGGCCAGTCTAGTCTACAAAGTGAATTCTAGGCTAGCCAGGGTTATATAGTAAGACTGTTTCAAAAAAAAAAAAACTGAAACAGAAGAAAACTTTGTTGGGGCTGGAGAAATGGCTTAGCCAAGATGTGTCCTGTTCTATCAATGATTGTCAGACCATTAAGAGCACTGGCTGATCTTCAAAGGACCCGGGTTCGGTTCCTGGCACCCACATGATGGCTGACAACCTTCTGTACCTCCAGTACCAGGTGATCTGACACCCTCTTTTGATCTCCGTATGTATTACAAGCATTGGTGTACTTACATATGTGCAGGTAAAATGTTCATATATGTAAAATAAAAATAAATTAAAAAATAGTCTATAACATTTTAGTTTTTGTTTCTAGAGACAGACTCACTAGTACCCATGGTAGTTCTAATGCTCACTAAATGCTCCAGGCTGCCTTCAAACTCACAGTGCTCCTCCTGATTCAGCCCCTATGAATAATGATAATTATGATTTATGACCATTGGATACTGAACTTTTAAACACACAATCTCATTTTCTTCTCAAACAGGGCACTTATCAAAATAGTGTGATTCAAATGACTCATTTCAATTTTATTAGCAACCTAGACAGCTCCATGTTATAAACACTGTGGGTGCTCAATAAATATTTCATGGCAATGAGCACCACAAAGTCAAAGTACTGATGTGCAGGGTCCTGCTCAGCAGCCCTCCGTGACTGTCCGCTTCCGTCCTTCGTCTATCCGATTTGGACCGACTTTCTGCCATTATAGAGATTTTGGTATATCAAGAAGGATAAATTGCCACTTTCATTTATCTGTTTTTTTCTTTTTTAAAAAAGATTAATTTATTTTTAGTTTATGTGTCTGAGTGTTCTGCCTGCATGTATGTAAACACAGTCATGTTGCATAACGCCTGTGGAGGTCAGAAGAGAGCATTGGATCCCCTGGAACTGGAATTATGGATGGGTGTTAGCTGCCATGTGGGTGCTGGGAGCCAAACCTGGGTCCTCTGGAAGAGAAGCCAGTGCTCTTAATCACTGAGCCATCTCCCCAGTCCCATGTTTTTTTCTTCTCTTTTTGTGAGTTTCTTTAAAATGTAATATGTATAGACACATAATTTCTAACATCATAGAAAGTACTATTCTTCTGGGATTGTTCTTAGTGATCCACACTTTGCTCTAAAGTCGATCAGAGGAATAAAATGAGCGCTCAGTCAGAAGTTTTCCTGCTACATGAATCTGTCTTCTGTAAGCCAAGATGCATCCTGTTCTATCAATGATCGGCAGACCATGCAGGCAACTGAGCACAGGAAAATGACACCCTGACATACACCACAGCAAACATCTGCTCATTAAAACAGTGGCTGTGTGTCAGAGCCAAGAACACACGATCACCTCCAACAAACCTCCCAGAAGCTGTTTTTTACAGCATGAAGCTCTTCCATCTCCCTCAAGTCATGCTCAAAGTCCTGCCCTGGCCACTCTGAACATCGTTGCATGCTGGAAAAAGTGGATTAAAACACATCCTCTTACAATTCAGAAAAGATGTTATCGATTTCAGGTCGGGGACAAAGATTGTTCAGGAAAACTCTGTACACATCTGGAGTGAAATCCTCTTGAGGTATGGTATCATTCTGGGAAGCAAAACAACAAGGTCAGCAGGAGGCCTCTCTCTCTAATTTCCTCCTTACCCTCTCTTCAGCCCTCCCTCTTTGCCTCCCTCCCTTCCCTTTCCATTTTCTCAGAACCAGAGTAAACATCCAGAATGTATCTATGAGGCCACTGTACAGTTCATTTGGAACCTAACTTTGATGTAACAACTCTGTTTTCTGTTGTTTTAATTTTAAAACTTAAGAAATTTATCCTGCAAAATAGATGTTAAAGCAATTTGCTTAATATATTTACTAAAGTAATTTAGACATAGGAAGAATCCGTTTAGCAGCAATCCTTCCTTCCTTCTTCCCCCCCTCCCCCTTCCTTCCTTCTCTCTCTTTCTTTCTTCCATCTTTACTCTCTCCTTCCTTCCCTCCCTCCATCTCTTCCTTCCCTTCAGCCCTTTCTTTCTGTGTGAGTTCACATGTATATGCTCATGTACACACATGTACATGTGCACATAGAGGCTAGGCCTTGGGTTTTGTTCCTTGAGAGTCATTCACTTTATTTTATGCGACAGGGTCTCTCATTGGTCTGGAGCTCACAAAGTAGGTTAGGTTAACTGTCCAGTGAGCCCCAGGGATCCCCTTGTTTCTGCTTCCCCAGTGCCAGGATTACAAGCATACACATGCATTTTTTAACCTGGTTTCTAGGGAGCAAATTCAGGTCCACATGCCCTTTACTATCTTCCCAGCATGTATGTACGTATTGTCTTTCATTTTCTTTCCTTTTCTTCCCCCTCCCCTCCCTCCCTCTCTCCCTCCTTCCCTTCCTTTTCTTTTCCTGCCCCCTCCTCTGTGTTTTGGGTTAATTTTTTTCCTTTTTAAAAATTGTGATAGAGAATATATAACCTTGTTTGCCATTTTAATCATTTTTGGTGTACAGATCAAGAGCATGAAGTGTATGCACATGACTGTTGCCTTTTTATTAGGTTTTTAAGTGAATATTTTAAAAAATGATGAGCCTAAAGAAAGACAGTGCTAAAATGAATACATAAATTCCACTTTTATACCGTTTCTCTTCAATCCCATCCCTCTGGTTTATGTTATCTGATCAGTTAGTTGTAAGATACTTTGTAAGATAAGCAGGACAGCACCAGACATTATTTGTGGCCGATTGCTTATTGTCCTGTTGTTTAGGAAGCAAGTCATCAATACGAAAGACCACCTCTATGACTTATGTTTTCTGTTTGGTTGGGCTACCATGGAAACCGGAAGCATGTATTTAAGCCTTTGTTAACAGGAAGGGCATTTTTCAAGCAGCTTCCTGTTTCAGGTATGTGTTTGTATGATTATTTTTATTTTCAAGCCCCTAAAACAAAGAAAACACCCTTCCTTTTAAATATATTCATATGCTTTAAACTGCATTTTTACAGAAATTTCTAAAAATCATTGTCTGAAATTGCACACTGCTTGCTAACAGATAAGAAAAATTATCTCATCACAGGCATATAATAGGGGCCCTATGTTTGCAGGATGAATGAATGAAGTAACATTTTCTTTACTAAGTCCATTTATAAAAGGGGAAAAACAATATTTTGCAAAAAAAAAAGAATTTGGGAAAAAAACCACATAGCAATGACACACATGATTTTTTACGTAGAGAGATGCTTTATACCAGTAGACTTGGGCTCCTTGGACACAAGCTTTGAAATCATGAACTCGGAGTCAAATCCAAGAACAATGAGGGATTCTCTTGGAGGGGGGCTTAGTTTTGGTTTTGAAAGTCATAAAATGGGAACATGCGTAACCTGTAACCAGAATTCCAGAATTCTATTTCATTTATAAACAGAAATACCTCTTGCTAGAGATCATCATTTTTTCTTTTCTGAGTTAGACACACATATCTCTTATTTTTCCTGGATAGATAAAATGACTGTCTTACTCCACTTTTCGGCTGTGAGACACAGAGAGAAAGATTTAAGAGTCATTTGTAAAAAATATTCAGTCGTGCTGCTGGCCAGCTCAAGTGTATCCAACGTTACTGCATTTATGAACCCCAAGTGAGTTTTCCTGTTCTCCTACTAAATCTAGCTCACTCTACTTCTCGCTAAGCTCACCCAGCAGACACATAAATTGATTTTATCTAAGGATATCAATAATGGTGTTTCTTGCTTCTTAATGTCTCTTCCTCTGAGCACCCTTGGAAAACCTGAACTGAGTTTTATCCTGAATTTGTCCCTGGTTACATCTTGCTTATCTGTCATTCTAACCCTCATCCACCTATATTGTGTTCCTAGCTGTAGAATTATCTTGATTCTTCATACACAATCTAGAACCTGCACACTGCTTGTTAAATGCTCAGTTTCCAGGGTATAGGATACAGTAGGTACAGAGTAAGTACTGATTGAATGATTGACTATGAGGAGGGTGGTAGACATTGACAGCAAGGGTCGTGTATTATTTCCTTTGGAATACTGGGTTTGACTATGCTCATTCACATAAAAGGGCAGACACATCGTTTCATAGAACAAGTTTTACTAAAATGTAACCATTGTTTATCAGCTGCAAATGAGGACTTTCAACTACAGCGGGCAAACTAACAAGGCAATCTGAATCGGTAAAACATTATTTTCATTGCCTGGTGAAACTTAGTAGATGGAGAAAAAAACACACACACGAAAACAGAGCCAGTTTTATGCATCTCATTGCTCTCCTGCCCAACTGATCAGAGAGGATATCTTATGGTCTTTGGAGCCAGTGAGTGAAAATGGCAGAAAAGAGAATCACGGATGGGACCGAATAAACGAACGTCAAGGAGAAAGCGGAAGAGACTCGGGAACGCTTGCTGCACGCTACAGCAATTCTCAGTTCCTTAGGTGTTCAATGAGGCTGAAAGTCGCAGAGCTCATGAATGTACTTCCTCTTCTTATCTCGGGATTTCGTAAGGAGGATGGTACAAATTCATGCTACCTCTTTGACTAAGGAGGAAACCCAAGTCCAGCATGTTAGAGGTTATGCCCCATGTTCACATAACCCTTTTTGAAGTACTTTCACCCTAGTGACGATACACTTTTGTGTCCACGGTATACCTTCATGATGACTTCCAATATACTGCTTTCCTTTTATATTTTATATTTTGGATTTTCCACCAGCTCATAGGTTTTTTACTAAAGGGACAATCTGTTACTTAATTCTGTTGAGTTCTAGGCAGGATGCCTTGTATAGAATAGACAGTTATATCTGCTGGATGAATGCAGGTGATGGGATCAGACCGTAAGTTTTCTTGTCATTCAGGACTAGATCTGGCCTCAGGCATCCAGCATAAAACATTTTCAGTCACTATCTGTTGCTACCATCACTTGCACATTTAAGGGTGAATTAGGAAGGCTAGTATGACCTGAAGAAGCATGGCCCGAATCAGACCATTTAGTAGAGAAACAATGAAGTAGTAGCAAATGTGAAAAAGTGGAACTGTTCTAGCTAAATGCTTGTGTATGAAGACTCTCAACAGAGGAAAAAAATATTGTGACCTTTTGTTCCTAGTCATGGTGGCATTTGTATTTCTGGATCCCATAGACTTGGTAATATCATGTCTACATGTTAATTAAAAGTAAAAGAAAAATATGGGGCATATATATGAGGTCTATAGCATGCATATATATATATATGTATATTACACTGAAAAGGATAACAACTAATTTTACTGTGCCAAGCATATGACTCTCTTGAAAATTTTTATTTATTCCCTAGGCCAATGCCAGGACGTTTATCTGTTAGCATTTTACTTTTGTAGACATAACAGTAGGGCTCTGGAAAGCTCGGAAAGCTGTAAACCTTTTCTAAGGTTGCTGTTAAGCTGGCTAGGGTGGAGGCAGCAGGTAGTGAGTGCATTTTGACTCTGGGTTGTTCAATTCTGTTATTCACTCTGTAAATCAGTAATCTAAATGTTCATATTAGTTTTAGGATGGTGATTTTGTTTTCACATTCATCTATTTGTCTATTTAAAAAATAATTCTTTAGCATATTCAGTAACACACTCCAGAGCAAGAGTACATCTCTTTCACAAGTGGCTGCAAGTTTCTAGGTTCACAGTTGAATTAATACAGTTATACAATATTGAAGTCAGTATAAGCCCTGTAAGACATAAAATTGAATGAGTTTTTAACCTTTAAAAAAGACCTCCATTTCATTTTAGAATATATTCTTCCTTGCAGAAAGACTCATTGTTTTTGCTACAAACACTGAGACGTTGGCTCATGCATCTCTAATCTGTATGTATCTGATTATTACTAGTCATAATCGGTTGCACTTGGATCCTTGGCACCTGCGTATGTCTATAAAGTCATCGGTTCGATTTCAATGGTAATGTTTAT